CTCCTCACAACTAGTTGGCAACACCATTTTGCGTGCCCTCTGTTTCGGCCAGCTGTGAAGCTCGTGGGTTGGCCGACTCCGAGGCGGCGCAGCGGGAGCTTCCGGCTGCCTATCTTCAGGTCTCTCATCCCATTTCCGCTTCCGCGGTGCGCGCTCACTTCGACGCTCTTCTGCTGCTCTTGCCGGAGCCGGAGCTGGAGCTGGACTGGCAGGTGCTTCGTCCGGATCTGTGTCCACTTCAGCCTCCCGCAAGTATCTACCCGGATTACTCCGGGTCAGCAGCGGAAACCGTGTCCGCTCTAAAGCTGTCAAACATCCCATCGCTCGATAAAACACGATCAGGTAGGGCGAAAGATGATTGAGGGTCCCTCCTCTCTCTTCTTGCGCATGTTGGCGCGTCACCTTCCACAAGAGCCGTGCCCAATGAACCAGAGCTCCTGACAACACTAGCTCCACAAATCCCACTTGCCAACCATGCATGTAGGCGGTCTTGGTCGGCTGCAATATCTGAAGCAATGCAGTCGCGACATTTCTCCGCAATCGATCTTTGTAATCCCGCGTCCGGAAACCGTTCTTGGGATGCTTGCCAACTTTGAAAAGATCATTGTAGGAGACTTCTTCCTCCTTCGACACCTTCACGCTCTCGGCCTCGAAGAGGAGATACCCTTCCTCGCCTGCACACCTTCCTAACACCTGCGCCCAGTGACTGATGTCCCACCTCTCGGGGTGTGGGCGGAATCCGCGCGAGGGCTCGTGTTTCTCTTGCAAATACTCGCGCACCATCTCCGGACACGTCCAATTCCATCCCCATAGGAGGAAATCAAGCTTCAACCTTGTCAACACATCTTGGAATGCGCGCAGACCGATCTACGGCACTCTGAGTGGAGAAACTCGCAGCTGGGGGACCTTCGACATCTTTCTTGCTTTTCCTGCACACACACAGACGTTCTTCCTTTCCGCTCGATCTCTCACAATCGCCACTGCGCGTCGGCCGCTCAGACACTGACTGAAATCGCTCTCTCTTCTCTTGCGCGCTCAATTTCGCTGCTCGCAAACTCTCTGCAAGGTCCGTCAAGATCCTCGCGCAACTCGTCTCCGCCCTTGCGCTTAATCTCTGAAGCTGGAAACTCACAATCAAGAATGAGAGAATGAGACTGGAGAGCAGACTTTTCTTCTCCGAATTCAAGATCGCCCAACGCTCTCACTGGGTACAATCAAACTTGATTACGTAGCCGGCTATACGGCCTAACGGTTCTCCCTCGCATGCTCGAATTCACGACTCCGCACTGCGCGCATTCGCATGCGTGAACGTTGAATTCTCCCGCCGTCACCGTCCTCCGGCTCTGAGTTCGCCATCGCCGAGGGCTTCTGGACTCAAGTTCGCCGCAGTTGAGCGTATGCTTCGACTATGTTGTCTTTTCCCAACCTGCCCATCGCCGGAGGCGTATCGCCGCTGGCGTATTCCTTCGTCGTCGGCGCCTCGCTGGAGCCGCACATCAAGTCGGCGCACATTACGCAGGCGCGTATTCGTACCACTTGTTTTGTCCGTTCTGCCCCGCATATCGCCGGCGGCGCATATCCCGCCGGCGCGAATTATGCCAGTGCACCCGCCTGTCCGCGCCACGTCGGAGGCGTACATCAGGCCGGCGCTTCTCTTCCGCTGCGCGGCCGCCAAAGGCGCTTCCGCCTCTGAGTTGATCTCCTCTTATGAGCGCGTGGTTCCGCCGAAGGCGCATCGCCGAAGGCGTACGGGAGTCCTTTCCGACGGTGAACCCAAGCGCGAACAGCGCATGTCCGGATGCAAGTTTTCCGACGCTCATAACTTCTTCGTTCCTGATCCATCTCCGGCGCTCTTGGGCTCGTTAGAACGAGCGTTCCGAGTTCTTTCCAATGAGACCTCAACCAACTAGAACTACCGTGAATCCTGATCGTTATGAAGGTTTCCCTCCCGCGCCAACGGCGCATCGCCGGAGGCGCACTCATGGTCGGAAGCCTTCAGAGGTCCTTGCCGGCTTCTGACGTCTTCAGCGACATCTCCTCCGGAGGTGTCTGTGCCGGAAGCGTACCTTCCCTAAGCGCTGGAAGCGCGTGGGTAGGGACACCTCAGCAAAGAAGATATTGCCGAAGGCGTTTTGCGCTGGTACGTCCAACTCCGCGATTCTTCGTGATCTCGTGACGATCTCCTCAATCCACTCTATTTAACGTACCATTTCCTAACTACAGACACTGCTTCGGTACTTCTTTTCTAAAATTGTTTAAATTCTGCAAAAAAAACAAAAAGTGTGTTACCACACATATACTTGTGTATCATTTGTTAGCTCCCCAAAAATATCCAAATCCACTTATTGGGTTGAAAATTTTCCAACAATATTTGATTACATTGTCGCAAAGATTTTGTCAAACAAAATATTTCATGGATGTAATATTTCCATAGATGGAGAAATTCTAATGCATAGAATATTCATGAAGTGTCAAATATTTGGATGAAAGATTTCCAAAAACTATCCGAAACTTGTCTAAAGTTGCACAAACTTGTCCGCAACTGCTTGAATTTGTCCTCACCTGTCCGAATTGTCCAAAATTTGCACACAACTGGCCAAATCTACCCACGATTGCCCAAACTAGTGTATCGACGAAATGGAGATGGAATCTCACTGATTTCTTCAATTTCGTTGGTTTGCAGATGATTGTTGGTGCATACTTTGCAAGTTTGCATTCTAACTGTATGATTTATATTTTGCCAGGTGGATAAGTATCGGATCAAGTTGACTTGCTTCTGCGGACGAGCTACAGGAAATGTTGGACTTCTATGGCGAGAAGAATTTTGTTTGCACGATTGAGAAAATTCACATCTATTACATCAACGAAGCCTTCAACAGTATTCTCAAGGAAGAAGTGCAATTCAGATTTGTGATTGACATGGTTACACTCTGAAACCTCAAAAGTATGTACTGCAGTGGAGTTGCTTGTATTGCGCCAAAATACTCTATGCTCGATGAATGCTCGCAAGAAGAGCACACTAATAATCTGACAATGGGTTCTTTCACAAAATGTGGAAAAAACCTCTTGTTTGTATAACTTACTTTCTCCGGTCAGACCAGTGAATCAAAATTCTGGATACAATAAATTAATAATTATAATCAAAATATTTCATAAATTATATATATCAAAACTGTATAATTCAATTCTTTTAAAATAAGTTCACACAAAGATCATAATTTAGAACTGTCTTGAGAAATTATAAACTCGATGATATAGCAGCAGCTTTGGTTCAATAAATTATTATTAAACATATCAATATTAATTATGTGATCTGAATTAATTTAATGATTTTTGAGAGATAAAGTGAATTTTGAAGATGAAAATAATTTTTTTGTGTGAAAAAATCAATTTCAAATGTAGATTCTTTTTTGCTAAAATACAATATTTGATTCGTTGGATTGTTAATTAACATTGATTGAAAACAATTTAGTTTGATTTGTGTCTTTACAAGAATGTAAATATCCAATCTCATGTCAACATGAAAACTAAGGATAGATCAAAATATCAAAGAATTACAATATCATGTTGAATTGTATATTTTTAATTGAAATTAGGGATAACTACCATGTTAATTTTTTGTGGAAAATAAATAAATAAATATTATTATAAATCATAACAAAAATTTTTATAGTGATGAAAGAGAGGATCAAATAACAATTTTGTTGCTAATATTCAAAAATTGAAAATGAGAAGGATATTATTTTATAGAGTAAAAAAATAAAATCAATTTGATGTCAAAATTGTTGAGGAAAGGAAAAAAGGTATGCAAGAAATTGCATCTTAAGAGGAGTTTAGAGCACTTACCATAAATCACTCAAGTGGCTGATGATAAACGACAAGCTTACCGGCAAGCTAGCTCATTGGACATTCATTTTTCAAAAATACAAATTTGAGGTGATTCATAGACATTGTCTCACTCATGAAAACGCAAACACTATATCCATGAGCTCATTGATCACTTTAGAGTATACCTCGATGCAAGACAAGACTTTGATCAGCTTGCTTTGGCAGTTAGATCACACGTTTGTAGCTACTTAGTCTTCCTGCAATGTTATGTAGCATATCATTCTTTACTTGATATATGAGAGGATGTGTACACTCTGAGATTGTTGGATCTTGAAGAATACTCTACTCAAGATATTTCAGGTCAGAAGGATCGTATCTAGCGACGATCCAAGCGTTTTGCATAGAAGAACGATCATCTAGTTCGGCGCTTGCCTCAAGGTGATAGAGTAATTTTCCCACCACATGAAAGGCTAGTCTAACTAATAAGTTACATTCATAGCTTGGTCACTTTGGTGTAAAGCATAATTATAGCATGATGTCTCCTCATTACTATTGGAGAGTTATGTATACTCAAGTTCGTGAAGTGCTGGCCACATGCAAAGAATGCGACAGGGTGTGAACTTCTTTTTACTCCCGGCAGGTCACACTTCATCCACTACCTATCATAATCTTGTTTTATTGCTAGTCTTATGATTTAGCTAATGAGCTGCTCATGACTAACAAAGTATACATCTACATCTTGATCATGATAGAGCACTTCTCTAATTGGATTGAATTAGTTGCCCTACAGGGTAAGACCTCTCTAAGTACCATCGAGACTTTCCTCCAACAAGTTCTTAGCAGGTTTGAAGCATGTGCAAAATGATTCACTGATCAGGGATCCGAATTTAGAGATGAATTCTAAGATTTGCTTGATCATGCCTTGATTGATCATCAGCTTACTGCAATGAATCACCCACAAGTTGATGGACTTGCCTACTCTACTCTGCAATAGGGTATTGAATGTCAAGCATGCATCCCTCTTGCAATTCACTCCCTATTTACTTTTGCTTGGAAGTCATCCGGTACTTACTTCTGCCGTTGCTTCACAAATGTACCAAGTTGTGGACTAGGATTCTGGGTCCACATAGACTGTAGTCATTTCAGAAAGTTCCGATCTATTTAAGAGGGTTATGCAAATGGCTATGGAGAACTTGCAGATCGCACAACATCGTAACACGTTGAGATATGCTTACAAGCGAGTTGATAGCTACAAGCCAAAGGTGCGGCAGTTTGAAATTGATGACTTTGTTTATCTTCAAAGGCAGCCCAATGATACCTCGGACACTTCTACTAGTCGCACCCTTCTACGTATTAAGTCAATCATGCTTCAGGCGTGCTAGAGTTGCAGGGGGCACACGGACGCACCATTAAGGATCACTTCAAGAACTAAGCACCATGCCATTTGCCTAAATTGAATTCTATCATCATTACCTCCACTTGATCATCTCTGTCAAGTATGTAAGGGGATAGATGATGTTGATCTAATGCTATTGTGCAACAATTGCAATGCAATATGTTTTAACTTACACCGGAGCTCACACAAGTTATGTTAGGCATGTGGTATTGTACAAAGTGTTCTTCATAATTATCTTTCATTTTCTAGACCTTTGATTTGCAATAATCTCAGGTCTGGGAGTAGATACATAATGTTTTGATTTATTTTACCTTTAGTTATGTATTCACTTTGATTTGATATTAATTTGTACTTCTTGTACTTCTTTCATTTAGACACCACACGAAGCATTTGAAATAGATTCAGATTTGTGAACCAGTTTCATTGTTATTGTTGGTATATGTGGTAACGTAGTTTTTCTTTTTTTCCGAAACAAGAAGTTTGACAGATAGAAGACTAGGAATTTCAAACTTTTAGGATAAAAATACTACAAAGTAAAGTAAATAGTGGATTTGGTAGTAGATGACAAGTTAGGAGTAGTGGAATCCATTTACCTTCCTCTCTTTCAAGTTAGTGCTTTTACTTGTTGGCAGTAAAGTTGAATTAGATGATTTATGATCTAATAAAGTAGATTTCTCATAACTTATTCAATTAGTAACGACTTGACTTAGTTAGGGTCTCGATAGATAGAGTTCCGCATGCTTGTTCTAACGAGCCTAAGAATTCTTGAAACGGATAAGGAACATCAAATTATGAGTGTTAGAAGTGGCAAGTATAAATAGGCGAAGACGCATAATGGGCTTCGACTGAAGGGTCTTCGAACTTCGGCCGAAGCGCCTTTGGCCGAAGAGCCTTTAGATTTCGGCCTTAACCCCTTCGGTGTAACACTAGGGTTTTGAGAGAAGCTCACTCGAAGATAGAAACGTAAATTTTGAAGATGAGAAATACCAACAATGGTTCTCCTCTCCCTTATATAGCTCTCACCAACAAGTACAAGGAGATAAGATCTTAACTCCACCATCCATCCCACTCCTAATGGATGGATGACGTGGCGGATAACCCTAACAAGCACATGGATCGCTGACGTGGCGCTCCCAACTAACACACTCAATCTTTACCTACAAGCACACGGATTGTTAATGTGGCATTGTCAACTAACACATCCACTCTATACCTAGCAAATGCGCGGATCGCTGACGTGGCAGCTATGACTAGTGCACACTAAAGTATCTATATCAATATTTAAAGTAACCTCTACTTTAATTCTAACTAACTAAAGATGGTTACATTTGGCCTTCGGTCTTCGGCCTTGGAGCATGGATCTTGCAGAAGCCATATCTTCGCGTTGGAGTGTCAACTGGAGCTGAAATTTGGTGAAGTTGTTGGTTTTAGCTGGCTGCAATGCTTGCAGATTTTTAGCCTCAAAAAATTTGGTTTAAAGAAGCTATTAATTCGGAGCTTTGAGACGAGCTTGTGTGAACCTTTGGACTTTGGTCGAAGGTACTTCGTACTTCAAACTTGAAGAGATTTGAGAGGCAATTTAAGCGTCAAGTGAAGAAATTGACAGCCATCGGAGTAGCATGGCATCGGCAGTTGAATATGAAGCTCAATTTGTTCATCTTCGGTTTGAAGGAGACGTATGAGAATATGGAATTGAAATTGTTAGCCGTTTTGAGTAGGATAGGAGCAGATAGGACTTTAGCGGGCGTGGTAACTTCCAGATCTGCTGGCGTCGCGTATGTTGGAAGCTCGCATCACAGCGAGTGACATCTCAATGAGTTAGTTAGGAATAAGTAGGTCCAAGTCTCTGCCTTCGGGAAACTTTTCCATTAGTCTACATAACTCCACGCGTTTGTGAAATTGTGTGTTTTGTCACCGTGTGTGACTTGCTTCAGTTTGTCAAAGATACCGCATCTGAAGTAAAGAGTTCAGATGTTCTGAGTAGCGTATGGCTAGTTCAAGATTTAAGCAAATCTGTAAATTGGAAGCTCGGTGCAGCCGGCTGAGTGAATAACCTTGGGAAATTCCACCCCTTCTCCCCCTGAATACAAAGTGAAGGGTCGGATGAGATTCCTGCATGGTTTGTTTGGACAATTTTCAGGTTGTGTGTGTGATTATACTCTGCTCTTCGAAACTTCGTCCATAATCGAGTAATGTTTTCTCGGAGTGACATGTGTCTGAGAAGTAAAACTCTTGAATAGAATATCAATTCGTGACACTACTTGGTTCTCTGCTGTTGTTTATGTCCTCGTGGGATCGGATCTTTACCATTATGCTTCATTTCGGTAATTATTTCTCATTGCAGTAATATTAATGGATGTTGCAACATGAGTTCATCTAAAACACAACATTACAAGAATTTACCATGTCTCAATCAAAGAGTCCATTTGTAGTTGAGCATAAATCAAAGCGTGCGTTGCTAATTGTTATGATTCTTGGAAAACTTTCTAGCAAGATTTGAATTATGAATCATCATAAATCAAATCTGATAGCTTTAATTTAAATTGTAGACTGTACAACTGTATATAATTTTATGTGATTATTTATCAAAAAATATTGATGAAATCCACAATCACAATACTGAAGAAAAAAATTTTATGTGATTATTTATCAAAAAATATTGATGAAATCCACAATCACAATACTGAAGAAAAAAATTCTGCGCCCATCTATAATGTTGTACAATTGAAAATCACTCTTATAAAGAATGTTTTAATTTGAAATAAAAAATTTTATAAAAAATTTTGATATTGGGATTTTATTAGTCAATCCTATTAATCAAATCAATAAATTTCACTTTTCTGTACATGAGAATCAATAAACTTTGGCAATCTTTATACACTCTTTTAGACTAAAGTTTTACTTGATTATTTTTATAGTCAATGAGGGATATATTCAAGTAAAGGATAAGATCATTTTCACATCATTAGTACATTAGAAAAGAAGAGAGAATTTTATTTAAAAAATGACACATAATTTTTGAAGATGAATGATCAAAGAATATTGTTTTTTTTAATAAATGCCTCTTTAAAGGATATAAATTTTATAAGAATTAGTCTCCATCATCTGTTTGTGAATCAATAACATGTTTGATATAACTAACAAATACACGGATATAAAAAAAATCCATTATATATTAAATTATTTTTTTTCTTGAAACATTCCAATTAATGAAAATGAGAAAAGAATTGGTTGATGAAATCATCTCTTTTTTTTAATCTATCAATGGTTCAGACTTCTGACGGAAACTTGTCAAGCGCCTTGCATTTGTTGACCGGCGGCTACGATTTCAGCGCTCTACAGTAGGCGAAGGCGACTGTGTGGATCATGAAATGCGAGTCCATGGTGACGGAGCTTGACGCTGATGTTCTACTGGATTAGTGAGCGTTTTTGTTTTTAGTTTCAAAAAACTTTGACTACGTAAGGGATTTCTGTCCGGAGGGTAATTTAGAGAGTTTTTTCCTTCAAAAATGTTGGATGCGGCACCGGGAGATCACTCATCCCACTACTATTCCGGACCAAGGGCGCTTACCTGCAGAGTTATGATGGGATCTTGTGTAGTAGCCCTGGTATAAACGGTTTCAGAAGAAAAAGTTTCAGGTTTTTGGCCTCCACTCACCTTGTTGATGTACATCAACAAGGTGAGTGGAGGCGAACGGTCCCGCGGAAAACTGTGACGGAAATCAATCAAGACCTTTGAGCCAGTGTTTCGGGCTGAGAGACAACGTGAGAAGCTATGAGTCTCAGTCGCATAGAGGCCCACTTGCGGCCCAAGGCAAAAACTGTCACGCGCACAGGATTGCCCTTTGCGTTTAGAAATGGAGACCCCTTTGTTTCTCCGGTGAGAAACAACTTTCCTCGGCTTGGCACCGAACCGAGTGCAACCTCGCCTAGAGAGGCATCCCAGCAAGAAAGGAAAAAAGGAAGAGGAGGGGTGCTAACGGTCACCCCACCTCGGTCCAACCTGACTTTGTGGGCAGGTACACACTTGGGCCTGAAGCTCGGACGTACTTTTGAGAGATTCTTCTGAGTGTATTGAGGCTTGGGCTCAGCTACGAGGTGCCTTGCCTCGTAACTGAGGCACCGAAATGAGGGCATCCCAGCAAGAAAGAAAAAAGGAAGAGGAGGGGTGCTAAGGGTCACCCCACCTCGGTCCAGCCTGACTTTGTGGGCAAGTACACACTTGGGCTGAAGCTCGGACGTACTTCTGAGAGATTCTTCTGAGTGTACTGCTGGGACCAGGTAGCCGAGCACTCGGGGAGAGAAATATTCCAACCATTGAGAGAGAGTGTGTGTGTGAGGCATAAGCCGAGAGCGAGCATGTTCGACTACTGCCAGGACCAACCAGATAGCCGAGCACTTGGCGAAGAAGGAAAAAGATTCCAAGTGTGGAAAAGAAAAGCCCAAGGCCGAACACTTGCGTTCTACAGAGAGAGGTGCCCCTCCCCACCCTCTGCATCTACACACTCGGGGCCTGAACGTCCGAACAGGACCGACCGACTTCTATCTACCTTCGACTTCTGCAAGGACCAACAAGGTAGCCGAGCACTTGGGGGAAAGAAAATATTCCAAGTGTGTAAGAGTGTAGCCCAGCCGCCGGCCAATGGGCCCATGAAGCGAGAAGAGGTATGACTCCAGCGAGTCTCCACTCGCAGGAAGTAAGCCGGATATCTGAAGTGCTAAGGCTGACCCGACCCGCACTCTTTCCTTCGTTACGGATCCTACTACTCCGAAACCTTCAACATTGTACTCAGCGACAACATAACACAAGAGGGGTAAGACTCACCACGACGGTTTGAACACTTGTGCACTGCACGTGTTCCCAAAGGGAGTGAAGGACTCACCAACAGATCCCCCAACACTTTTAGAAAAAAGTACCCTGCTACACACACACTCACAGGCTACAGACTCCTTCACTCACCTATTCTCTCCGGAACGAACTTAAAGAGGTAAAGGAGAACCGCGGGTCGGCTGAAACGACACCGAACCGGACACCTTCGCAAGAGTAGCGAGTGTCTGAGAACAACCGGAGACAGCCGGAGACTCCCGATGTTTCGGACCTATGACTCGCCCTGGAAGGCCCAATTAGTAAAGAGGTTGCGATGGAAAGTAAGGATCGAAGACATCCAGAGAGAAAAAACAAATCTTTGGAACAGAAGGCTGAATCTCAGCGGATCGAAGCAGCAAGGCTACTCTGCTGCTTACAATACCTCGTCCCATATTCAAGTCGTCTGCAAAGGATTCATCTCCCCAATCGTTTGGAATTGCGATTCAAAGCACCCGAGCGCAGGCTTCTTGCGCCGGCTCGGGGAAACTCTCGACACATGCTGCAGGGGACGGACGAGTCGCCCCTACCGGTAGTCGGGTGAAAACCGGGGAGGTAGAAAGCGCCGCTTCTATCACGGATACTGAATTAGAGGAGTTCAGTCATAATCCTACGCATGGTAGCTTCCCGTCACTGGCTTTTCAAGCGAATCAACGGTTCCTGTCGTTTATTTCTACTGATGGAGCGCTCCCGTTCTGCGCGAGATTCGTTCGACGTAGGATCGGTCATGGGGCAGGAGACGAGCCGCCGTCTTAAAATACAGGATTTCCAGCTGCTTATATTTTCGAGGCAGGACTTCCAGCTCCGTATTATATTCTCGAGGAAGGACTTCCAGCTCATTATATTCTCCAGGCAGGACTTCCAAACACGCGGTCAAGGGTCGGATCGCTCCTCTGCCTCTGCATCAGCGTGTATATAAGGCTCGGGCGAGGAGGCGAATCGTGCCAGTTCGGGAGCCGGAATCCAACAGTTGCAGAAGCAGAGTCGCCCAAGATGGCAAGTGAAACTGAAGTGATCGGATGGGCTGCCAGGGACACTTCGGGCCACATGGCCCCGATCACCTTCTCTCGCAGGTACTCCCCGCACTCGCTGCCCTCTGAACTCGATGTCTGCGGATGTGAACGAGAAGTGTAGTATCAGTTCGGTGCAGCCCACAGTCCCAAATTTCAGCTGTACCAGAACGCGTGTGGTGCGAAGCCGAGCTGAAGCTTTCTCTTCTTCTCTTCTTCTCATCCACCTTGACCTGAGCGCACACTCTCTTTTGTCAAGTTTTGAGCTGGCGGCTTCCAATATTTTGAGCTTCTTGACCGTTTGATGGTATCCAGCCACTTGGTAGATCTGTAACTCGAACGAAGAGATCAGCTAGGGTGAATTATTCTCCGGTAGTTCAGACACTGATTCTCGACCTTGACTCTTGGCTTGCAGAGCCCTCGGCCCCCGAGATGTAAAAATTTCCATAAAGTTCTGTGGAGTGTGTCACACTGACTGGACTGTCATCAGCGGTGAAGTCGTTCCTCCGAACTTCCCCGTGGTGCCCGGGTAATGTTTCTGAAACCCACTGTCAATTCCTTCGGCCTTCAATTCAATTCAACGTGTCTTGTCTCGCTGAAACTTGTGATTGTTGGGACTGACGTCGAGTGGTACGGGAACTGCAGGCACGAGATTGTGGGAGTTGTGGAAGAAGTGGGATCGGAAGTGACGAAGTTCAAAATCGGAGATCATGCAGCCGTGAGCACCTACGTGAATTCTTGCGGGTCTTGCAGGGTATGCGAACGAAAGCTACCTCAGCATTGCAAGGATGTAGTGTGGGTTTTCAACTCCGTGAACCCTGCTGACGGACTTCCAACTTATGGTGGATACTCGAACTTGATGGTCGCGGATGAAAGGTACGATTGCTTGCTCTGTTCGATTTCATGTGGTGAGCCTGTTTCTCTCGACCTCGATTTGTTGCGGTTGGATATCATGCCGTAGCCCTGCATGATCTGATGACTGATTGATACATGGCTCAAACTCTGCGATCAACTGATTCGAGGCTGATGTTTATTGACAGCTTCTGCTACGTGCTACCGAAGAACTTGCCTTTGGATGGCGCTGCCCCACTTCTCTGTGCAGGCGCAACTGTGTGGAGTCCCATGAAACGCTATGGAATGGGCAAGAGCGGCAATCGCTTCGGCGTGGTGGGATTAGGAGGCCTGGGCCACATCGCCTTGAAATTTGCCAAGGCCTTGGGGATGCATGCCACTGTAATCAGCACATCCCCTGCGAAAGAAAAAATGGCCCGAGAAGAACTAGGAGCTGATAACTTCATCGTATCCAAGGATCCAAAGCAGATGGAGGTGTGTCCCTTTCCGCCCCCGTTTTCCTCCTCTTGAAACAAACATCAGGTTTGATTTTCCTAGTTGGCTGAAATTCTGGAATTTCTGAAACGAAAAGCTGGAATGTGGTTCGAATCATTTATCGTGGCAGAGAATCTAACCAGATGCATCACAACCATGTCAGTAGCAGCATACATTCATGTTCTTTCAGTACAATATGATATCCTTAAGTTCACACCTCGAATTTTTTCATACAGCGAAAACTCTGATGCATAAATCGACGCAGCTGAATCCCAGAAACTGAAGGTCGTCAAACAACCAAAGTGTCATGGATCTAACTGAAACGGATGTCTTCGCAGATGACTAATATGATACGGTGAGTGTTATGCAGGAAGCAGCAGGCACTTTGGACTTTATCATCGATACCGTTTCGGGCATACATCCTTTGGACCCGTTGATGAACCTTCTCGCCCCGCAAGGACAATTTATTTTCGTTGGTATAGGCCTTGGAAAACTCGAGATTGATTCACTCCCCATGTGTTTCGGTGAGAATCCAGCTCTTTTTAGTCCACCAAATTCTGATTAATGATTCATTGACCCGATCGACGAAACGGAGATGGAGTCTCATGACTTTCACTGAATTCTTCGATTTTGTTGGTGTGCGGTTGATTGTTGGTGCAGACTTTGCAAGTTTGCATCCTGACCGTATGATTTATATTTTGCCAGGAGGAACAAGTATCGGATCAAGTTCCATCGCTACTCAGGCCGAGCTGCAGGATATGTTGGACTTCTGTGGCGAGAAGAATTTAGTTTGCACGATTGAGAAAATTCCCATCGACTACATCAACGAAGCCTTCAAGAGAATGCTCAAGGGAGACGTGCACTTCAGATTTGTGATTGACGTGGGAAACACTCTGAAACCTCAGAACTAGGTACTGCAGTGGAGTTGCTTGTACTGCGCCAAAATTCTCTATGCTCGATGAATGCTCGGAAGAAGAGCACACAGATAATTTGACAGTCGGTTCTTTCACGAAATATGGAGACAACTTCTTGTTGTCCAACTTACTTTCTTCAATGAGACCAGTGAATCGAAACTCCGGATACAAGATTGGATACAAGATTGGTGGAGCGTTTCTCTGAAATGATAGTATCCAGCATCCGAGCTCCGTGAAGGGGTTATTAAACTCTCGAGTTTAGAAGAAAGAGAATCAGTCTAATGGGGACGCTATGGTTACAAATTCACTTGAGCGCGCTTAGTTGTAGCGATGGATAGGAAAGCAACGCAAAGACCGGACCTTGCTATGAGGTTGGAGTTGGATTATCCAAGAGTGCGGTCAAGATTGAAAGTCTGCAAGTTCGCAATGTCGGTAAAAAAGCGTCTCCAACATCACGTTAAATTCTGCTCGTTATAATTCTTACATCTCCGGATTTGGTGAGTATGATAGGGATGAGTCCGTTTTTTATTACAAAAAATACATACAAATTTACAACGTCTTAACAACGTTTGAAATAAAGACAACTTTTACTTAAGACGTTTTTATTTGTAGACAAGCTAACTCTAATTTGTAGTACAACTCACAATTCACCCTTGTTGAACTTTTCTTTTTTAACCGAGTGGAGCTAGTTCCTTACACTTCTGTGAATTTCTAGTGATAGAAGTGCTTGGAGTGAGTATAAAGTTATTACAGAGTTGACCTGAGTTGTATGAAAATCTCAAGTGAATTCTGAATTTCTTCAGCAGGTGGAACTCAATTTCTTGGCAGTATCTATGCTTAGTACTTTGAAAAGCAAGGCTTCGTTCAAGGTGTTTATGAGTTCGTAGTCCTCACAGCTACTTAACTCAATGGAGCTACTTAACTCAATGGAGATCACACACTTTTGTTAGTCCTAGACCTATAAAGAAGCCCATAACGAGAACACTTTATCGTGTCTTGTTCACTTTCACTACAATCCTCACCAAATTTCCTCAAGGGGATCTTCTCTTCTGACCAGGAGTAATTTTCTGAGTTTACCGTCTTCTCTTGATGGTAGACTTGAAGAAATCACTAGCATATATCATACTGATCATAGTAGATAGATCATAGATAGCAAGCCTGGAACCAGACAAGCACATATGACAGATGCAGTCCATTATGATTCAATAGCAGATATACCATTGACTTTGACAGCAAGCACGAAACCAGAAAACTAGTAGATAAGCACAAATCTCTGACGAGGTGCAATACTTTACGATTCAATAGCAGTTAAAAAACAACATTTTGGCGTCCAATGTCTCAGAAATACTTTGTGACTTGGATTCAGTCTAACAGAGAGTACTAGTGTATCTTAGAACGCAAACATATGTGACTCATAAATCATCGTAGTTCTCTCAGAAGATAATGGAGCCAAGAATCTTCTTGGATGATCCATCGACGGGTAGAAGACGTAGTAAATCCGACTGTTAAGTAGTAAATTTGTTAAGGAGATAAGAGACTTGGTCTTGAAACTCTTCATTCTCCTCTAGCGGCTACTTGTTCATTCCATTCTGTTCCAGCCATAGATCCGCCATACGTGCCGCCATGATCATCAACTCATCCTCGTATGGCTCCTGCATCACTGTTGGATCTTGATACCTACATAGAGTTACAATGTGATATTCTAACGATTGGAGTTTGGGACTCAATATCATCTTTCGAACTGAATAATTATGCTTCACAGCAACTTGCATCTCAACCTTGCCAGAGCCTCTACGATTACGGCGAACACAATGCACTTCCTTTCCCACCTTGTGCTGTCGTTCAACGCCGGCTGATGATCCTGGTCTGATATACACATTGATAAGAATAGGAGCGATATGGGGATAATTCTAATGACATTGATTATAGACATAACGAGGTTGATATATCTTATATGATGTTATGCTGGTCATAAACTGCTGTATAGTAACACAGAACTTCATGAATTCAACCTTCACGCTTTCAAATAACTATTCATCCTTTTCTGAAGATTCTTAATGCAGCATGACATTGATTAATATGTGAATCTTTACCAAACCTAAGCACTTGATCACCATGGACATGCGTAACATTCATTCGAAACTCATGATAGAAGGGATCGCAAAAAAATGCAAGCATGTGAATAGGCGAATAGATTCGATTTCATCGATAACGAAGTTGAGCTTGCATTTGTTCAATCTTGGCACCAGAAAATAGAGTAGGAAGATGGAGAAAGATGAATACAAAAGTATATATATACAGCAGGTTTTGTCGATGAATCACTCTCGATAATGTCGATGCACTTGCAGATGAGATCAAAAAGGTCAATTGCACAATTCACGTCACGCCAAAAGCTACTCTTGTTGATAATGATCAAAAAGTTGTCCGAAAGTTCATAGCCAGCATCAATATTGAGCTCCTTGAGCTCTTCTTCAGTAAAATTTGGCATAGAAGTGATAAGACATTTGATTGTTTTGAGACAAACGAACATATAATTCATAGTCAACAAACGTGAAGCTGAATACAGTACCATTCAGTAATTTACCAAGCACCTCTTTGCAAACTGAACAAAATATTTTATAGGGTTATAAAGGGCAAAAAAGGGCTTGTTTTCTCCCCATGAACACTTCAGGGCTCCATTTGCGGGGCCGTCAAGAGCCGCACGCGAAATTTTGATATTATATCTTTGCAGAATTTGTTCAATGGATGAGTTCTACATCCATATGCATAGTTGACTTCACGATTGTCTATCAGCTTATTGCAAAAAGCTTGCATTGCAAGCTTTTTGTCATACTGCTATAGGAAATAAAAGCATCCGCAATATTCTTTCCAACAAATGCAGCAATTTGATCGAACAGCGATCTTACCTTCATACGAAGCTCATTGTCGAATTTCCTGCTGAGATTTGCTCTAAGATCTTCCACGAAACATGTACGGGGATCATGGACAATGAGATTAGACATTCTCTAAAACAACGACATTCAAAGCACCATCCATACCAATAATGACCGCCACAACAGATTGCAATTCCTTGCCCATATGCATATGTTGCATGAATAATAGCCTGAAAGCAATTGATTGTTTAGCACATCAGGTGGTGGAATGATTAAGTTGGGAGGCAGCTCCTTGAAAAAATCAAGACAGACTAAATGATCAAACATATGGAAGTTTGTAGCGATTTGATGCATGGTAGAAGCAAACAAAGAATCGAACATCCGCTTCTAATCTAAATTGAATCTAGGGAATATCTTCGCATTCATCCCATCAGCAATAGATGAGCTCTTCTTTGTAATGATACCCAATTGTGTCATGCTCTGAGCAATGAGTTTTACAATCATCTGCTCAAATTGTTCATGAGATTGAAAATTCGTCGATGACGAAGTTTTAAGATTGTTGGTATTTGTAGCTACCATTTGCAATTTAGTGAATGGAGCAAGTTGTCCAAGACTAGTACTAATGGAACGCGTATATTGATCACAATTAGCGAGATGAGTTTTCAGATTCGATGAAGTTATAGAGATCAAAAATTTGCAATGTTTGCATTTTGCACTAGCAATCTTAAACTTAGGATCAGTTAGAAGCTCTTCAAAGTAATCCCAGTGATTTCCTTTCATTCGACATGAGCCACCTATCACTTGACAACGAAGCTTAACCACCTGACAATGAAGCTTAAACACCTGCAATAGTCCCAATCCAACCTAGCCACGCAATTTGCAAATTACAATAGCGCTTCATGCTTGTATCTGCTTAAAGATGAAGTGTGCGGTGAAAATTAAGTTGTGTAGCACAATGGATTGATATCAACTAACTCCGACTTCCTGATGCACATGCAATGTTGTTGCTGCACACCATCATTTGCTCACATTTTAGACGCGGACGGCGAATACAATGCTCCCAAATTCAGTTTAGCCATGTCGACCCATCTCATACACTCACTTTCCGACGCACACCATTCACTCGCATTCCAAATGTGGGTAGTGGAGTACCCAAATTCAGTTGGCGTGATGTAATTTCTGAACAAGAAATCGTCTTACTCCGCCTTCGTGACGCCCATGAAGTTTTTTTGGTGCGCATTACCATTCGTTCAAAGTCCAGATGTCATGTGTTACCAAGTTTTTGGATTCTACGTCTAAAGTAATGTATTTAAGACGTCTCAAACGTCTTGGTATGTTTGAAGCTATGCAATTTGATTTTGAATGCATTCATATTTGCTGAACATGAGGAGTCACTTTCATTACATGTCTAGTAAAGTTATAATAAAAACTTGTCTTGATAAAAGTCACAAATATTATCAGATTATTGTGATAATAGTAAACATTGAAATGATTTTCAATATATATATAACAAATATTTTCAATAAACAATTTAAGTAAATTTTGTACACAATTTAAACATCTACAAGTTAATTTCTTTTCAAGTATCATTCAGACTTATATTCCACACTTTTTCTATTGACAGACTTGCACAAGTACATCATCAATAGATTGATTTTTATTATTTGCAAAATTTCATTCATGAAATCTAAATTATAAATTTTTTTCTTCAATACATTAATAGATTTTTGAATTTTTAGAAAAAATATTTGATATGAAATAATTGATTGTATCAATCACCCCAAAAAAATGATATAATATGATTTGGTTCTATGATCATAAATTTTATAACTTATATTTTTTATCATTTTTTTTCAATCAGCTCTTATTTATATTGATACATCAATGAAATTTCTTGACTACCATCAAATAAATACCAGAAATTTAATATTTTATTAAATTAGTGAATTTTTTAATTATATAATTATTAATAAACAAAAAATTCAAATTCATAATCTATTGGTTCAATCTACTCATTTGATAAAATAAAAAAAGGAAGTAAGAATTAGCATTATTTACGGTTTTTACCAATAATAAATTATGTTTCATTATAATAATTTGAAATTGAACAAAAAAATGTCTTGCTCCATTAGAATTTACATCTTTTTATTTTTTCATCAATCCAATAAATCTCATTGTATCATCAAAACTGACATAATCAAAATGACTTGTCTCTTCATATTTTCATAAATATTTAAATTATTTTATATGCCCTAAATTGCCTTTTTTGGTTTTATCCAAGCAATAAAACCGCAAAATAAATACATTAATGATTTTCTTATCATAAGAAATGTCATCATTAACTCTGTAATCTCTACTGAAAAGTGATTGAAAATTTGTTGCAACCATCATAGTTATTCTTATCATACAAAATTTGGCAATGTGATGTATACTTTGACATGCTTGTTACAAACTTTTGCTTGCTCTCCAATCCCTAATGATCTTATAATATGGTAATCTTAATAATCATTTCATTCTATGAATCAATTCCATTTATTCTGATAGCATTTGTTTACATGTAGTGTATTGGGTAAGAATCTTACATGTGAAACAAGATTTCATGAACATTCATAATATAAAATCAAAAATATAAAAATGAGATAAAAAAATATACATCATTGTAATAATTTCTTCTAATATATCTATGTCTCTATTTTCCTCATATAAATTCCTTATATTTGAAATCTTTTATTTGTAACAAATAATAATAATAATTTCTCAATCTATTGAAACCGTTTCTTATTTGACTTTGCCCTTTTAACAAATCAAGCCTCATGTATTAGAGTTTCAATGTTTATTTCTTCATGTTTTAATCTCTTTGTACCTTTTTCACTCTTTAATGCATAAATTTTAAACTCCGTGGCTTGTTGTTTTGTATATGCTTTACTAAATCTTTATTAAATTTTTTTATTTATATCATGACTATTTAGACTGTATTTAGACTGTCATCCATATCATTTGATGTCATCATGTCTTCACTAAATTATCCTTATATAATGTAGATGTTTACTATTCAATCTTTTGAAAAGGATATTAAAATAAAGATATTTTTCATTAAATCTGAGAAAATGATATATTTAAAATAATTTTATTCTTTGCTTTGTTTTATGGATAAACTTTTTCATATTTTACATATTTTTGGAAACAAATTAAAATTGATGATCTATAATTCAAATCCATCCAACAATCATTTTAAATTATAAATTCTACAGTTTCATATATTCATATGAAACTAAAAATCAAAAGAAGAAATGAAATCCGAAATCATATTACTCAAGAAAAATAATTTCCATTCATGCCGCAATTTACAATTGAAGTTATGTTTCTCTATTAAAATTTTATCAAAAATATGCATTTAAAAAAATTTGATATTGGATTTTTGTTAGATCCAAATCACAATTTCCTCCTTTGTACTTTAACTACGTGAGAATCATCTAGCTCTACCAATCTTGAAACACTCTACAACAATAAAGTTTTCCATCAGTTTTTTGAAATAACAATAAAGTGTTTTTTATATTATATTATGAATTATGATTCATACTCATGGAAAGTAAAAGGTTATATTCTTACCATTATAATATTAGGGAAGAAGAAAGAAGATTATTTAATAAATGACACTTAAACTTTGAACACCAATGATCATATATCGAATCTCTTCTTCTTTATTACTTCTTTATAAGTGGTAAATGTAGGTAAATCAATGTGTAAATCAATGTAGGTAATCAATCCCATTATCTCTTTTTGGATTGATAACATGTTTGATATGCCCAACAAACACATAGATGTTTTAAAATTATAAACAGTCCTCTATATACTAATTCTTTCTTCATCTTGAATAATTTTTACATAATTTTAAATACCTTAAAATGATAGAAAAATTGATTGATATGATATCAATTTTTCATTCTATTAATGGGGAAAAATATCTTATTTATGAAAGTAAAAATCTAAGTTAGTTACGTTGCTATTCACACATTGCAGTAAGTCTCATGAATGGATATGAAGTTACGTGTAGAACAAATAGAATGTCAAAAGATTATGGTATTACTCATGTGTTTATTTTACTCCCTTGCTAGAACCTCATGATTGAAATCAACCATTGAGTGGAGGTGAAGGTACAACTAGAACAAGGAGAAAGAAAAATAGATAAGGCATTTACCAAAGTATCTAAATAACTAGCTCTTGCAAAATCACAAATGATACCATCATAGTAACGAGCCTCACTATTAGATGTGAAGTTACACCCGGAACTAGAGAACGATAACTACATATGGACTTTGATAATGAAATCTAATGTATTCTCTTTTGCAAAAACACCAACTCTCGCACCACTATGATGCCCCCACAAATTTAATATATTCATAATATCCTGTTTGCACTAGGTGGGGACAAAATATACAACTTGGCCCAAATAAGATCCATCCTAGAAAAGAAAGAGACGGAAAAGAAAACCCCGATACATATACGAGATGAGATCAGCTATCCAGTTAGTCACTGGTCGGCCCGGCTCGGCTTGAGCCGCTAGTACATGGAGCCGGCTCAGCTCGGAGCCGATCGCCATGCCAGAAGCCGGCTACTGAGCCGGCTCGACTAAGTCGTAGCCGAGCCGGTCTGAAGCCGGCTGAGCCGGGCCGACCCCTACTCACTACTGCAAAATGATGTAACATCTTTTCTTAATAATAATAACAATTGGTTACCAGGTGAAAGATACAATTAATTATTCTGCCTATGAGACGAAGATATAGAGGAATCTTACTGTGAGCCAATTTCTTTGCGTGATCAATACCATTAGCGGTATATCGCCTATAAAGAAGCCGGCTCAAGCCGGCTGAGCCGGGCCGACCCCTACTCACTACTGCAAAATGATGTAACATCTTTTCTTAATAACAATAACAATTGGTTACCAGGTGAAAGATACAATTAACTATTCTACCTATGAGACGAAGATATAGAGAAATTTTACTGCGAGCCAATTTCTTTGCGTGATCGATACCATTAGCGGTATATCGCCTATAAAGAAGCCGGCTCGACTAAGTCTTAGCCGAGCCGGTCTCAAGACGGCTCTGCCGGAGCCGGGCCGACCCCTACCAGTGACCGAAACCTGCATGAGGCTTACGTGGCGCTGGCATGGCATGAGGTGGACCAAATCTTACCACATTGGGATGGTAATATCTGATGTGTACAATTGGAGGCCACGTGCAGCACGGTCAGAGGTACACCCCCCTTGATCCGACACTTAGAGCTCCTCCTGCTCAGGTACAGTACTGCCCTAACTTAGGGCAGTACCTGAGCCCTCTTAGGGCCCCTAAGAGGGTGAGGAAACCGGATGATCGAAAGTCCGCGAGCTGCTTCCGGTTCAGTCAGGTCCACCACACACCCCACATCAGCGAATCAGCTGCATCGCTCTTATGACAGCACCGATATCAGCGTTCGGTCACAGAATGTCGCTCTCCACGGCGTTCACGGCAACTCCCTGACAGGTCACCCCGCTCCGACGAAACCGGCAGAAGCCAGTCGCGGACACGGTAGTCCCCACCCTGGGCGTCCGACGGCCGATGACTCACGCATGTCAACAATCCATAAAGCGGTCCATGTTTGTAACGTTTCAAACCTCCTCAAGCGCCTCGCACCTGTTGACCGGCGGCTACGATGTCAGCGCGCACTGTAGGTGGCGAGGGCAACTGTGTAGCTCATGGGCGGTACAGAGTACGTCCGTGCGTGCGGAGCTCGACGCTGATGGTCGACTGCGTATCGACGTCACGAGGGTCGGTAGCATTGATTATGTCCTGCTGATGGGGCGCTCCCGCTCTCGTTCGATCGGTCATGGAGCAGGAGACCAGCCACGCTCTTAAAATATAAAATTTGCAGCTGCTTGTGTTCTCGGGGGTCCGATCGCCGCTCTGCGTCTGCATCTGCATCAGTATATAAGGCTCGGGCGAGGAGGAAGACCGTGACTGTTCTCATCTACACCGAAGACCGGATTCCTACAGGTGCAGAAGCTCATCGTCGCCCAAGATGGCAAGTGAAACCAAAGCGATCGGATGGGCCGCCAGGGACACCTCGGGCCACATGTCCCCGATCGAATTTTCTCGCAGGTACTGTTCGCAGTCACTGGCTTCTGAACTCGATGTCTGCGGATGAGATGCAGATGTAGACTGTCAGTTGGCTTTGTCTCAGTGCAGTTGGGTATCGCCCACTGCTTCAATTTTCAGCTGTTTTCAAACGCATGTGGTGCGAAGCCGAGCTGGAGCTGTCTCTTCGTCTCCTCTTCTCATCCATCTTGATCTGACCGCACACTCTTTTGTCAAGATTTGAGCTGGCGGGTTCCAATCTTATGAGCTTCTTGTGCTCATGATGATATCGAGCCATTTGGTAGATCTGTCACTATGCCAACATTACGTCAGACGAAGAGATCAGCTAGGCTATAATTTTCTCCGGTCTATCAGACACTGAATCTCGACCTTGACTCTTGGCTTGCAGAGCACTAGGCCCCAAAGATGTTAAATTTTCCATAAAGTTCTGTGGAGTGTGTCACTCGGACTGGAGTACCGTCACCGGTGAATGGGGTCCTCCGATGTTCCCCGTGGTGCCCGGGTAATGTTTCTGAATCCCACTGTCAAATCATTCGGCCGAGCGAAATGGCAACGTGTTTTCTTTCGCTGAAACTTGTGATGTTGGGATCGTGGAACTGACGTCGAGTAATGCGGGAACTGCAGGCACGAGATTGTGGGAGTTGTGGAAGAAGTAGGATCGGAAGTGACGAAGTTGAAAGTCGGGGATCATGCAGGTGTGAGCACCTACGTGAATTCTTGCGGGTCTTGCAGGATTTGTGAAAAAAAGTTACCTCAGCATTGCAATGGTGTCGTGTGGGTTTACAACTCCGTGGACCATGCTGACGGACTTCCAACTTATGGTGGATACTCGAACTTGATGGTCGTGAACGAACGGTACGATTGCTTGCTCTGTTCGACCTCTTGGGATGGACCTGTTATTCTTGCCCCACGTGTTTGATCTCGACCTGGATCTGTTGCGGGTGGATGTCATGCCGTAGCCCTTCATATTCTCATGAGTGATTTCAACATGGCTCAAATTCTGTGATCAACTGACTCGAGGATGATGTCCATTGCCAGCTTCTGCCTCGTGCTACCGAAGAACTTGCCTTTGGATGGTGCTGCGCCACTGCTCTGTGCAGGCGCAACTGTGTATAGTCCCATGAAACGCTATGGAATGGGCAAGAACGGCAATCGCTTCGGCGTGGTAGGATTAGGAGGCCTGGGCCACATGGCCTTGAAATTTGCCAAGTCCTTTGGGATGCATGCCACTGTAATCAGCACATCACCTGCGAAAGAGAAAATGGCTCGAGAAGAACTAGGCGCTGACAACTTCATCGTATCTAAGGATCCAAAGCAGATGGAGGTGTGTCCCTATCCGCCCCCGATTTTCTTCTTTTGAAACAAACATCAGGTTTGATTTTCCTAGTAGACTGAAATTTGTAGTTCTAACCGCAACTTGAGAGGAAAAGTTGGAACGTTTTTTCGGTTCAAAGCATATATCTCGGCAGGGTATCTAACGCTGAGATGCATTACAATCACGTCAGGAGCAGCATACATTCATGTTGTTTCAGCACCGTATGATCTTAAGTTTCATACCACCAAATTTTAGTAAGCAAGTACTCTGATGCATAAATCATCGAAGCTGAATTCCAGAAATTTAAGGTTATCAAACAACCAAGGTGTTTGGATGTCTTCGCAGATGACTAATTTAATACGGTGAGTGTTATGCAGGCATCCGTAGGCACTTTGGACTTTATCATCGATACCGTCTCGGCCATCCATCCTTTGGACCCGTTACTGAACCTTCTCGCACCTCAAGGACAACTTATTTTCGTTGGTGGAGGCGTTGGAAAATGCGAGTTTGATTCACTCCCATTGTGTTTCGGTGAGAATTCAACTCTTGTTACTCCACCACATACTAACTAGTCTTTCATTGACCCGATTGAAGAAATGGAGAGGGAGTTTGATTAGTTTCACTGAATTCTCTGGTTCTATCCGTTATGGGATGTTTTTTTACTAATTTTGCAAATCTGACTGTGATACATGATATGTCAGGTGGAAAAAGTATCGGATCAAGCTGCATTGCTACTCTTGAGGAGCTGCAGGAAATGTTGGATTATTGCGGCGAGAAGAATTTAGTTTGCACGATTGAGAAGATCCCCATCGATTATATCAACGAAGCCTACAAGAGGATGAACAAGGGAGACGTGCACTTTAGATTTGTGATTGACGTGGGAAATACTCTGAAACCTCAGAACTAGGTAGCGGAGTTGCTTGTACTGCGTCAAAATTCTCTGCGCTCGATGAAAGCCCCTATGAAGAGAGTACACAGATTCTATTTACGGAGATAACGTCTTGTTGTCCAACATATTTTTAATTAGGCAGACTTTTGAATCGAGATTCCGTATTCGAGATTGGTGGAGCGTCTCTCTGGATAGGGAGTATCCAGCATTCGATGTCTGGAGGTATTATCATTTCTCGAGTTTAGAAGAAAGCGAATTAGTGTAAAAGGGATGCTATGGTTACATATTCAAGTGAGCGAGCTTAGCTGTTGCGATGGATAGGAAAGTGATGCAAAGAGTGACTCTTGCCATGAGGCTGGAGTTGGTTCATCTAAGAGGGCTGTCAAGATTGTAAATCTGCAAGTTCGCAATGTCGGTAAAAAAGCGTCTCGTGTTAGTGAAAATTTATACACACGAGTTTATCTATATTGTGATGCACAATTTTACTCTATGCTCGTTGTAATTCTTACATCTCGGGAGTGGAATGGAGGACTTGAATGCCAAAGTATGTGAAAGTGAAGGTGAAGGTGAGATCAATCGACGATGAGATTGAAAAAGTTAAGAGGACATAATTATCGTGTTCTGCTTTTCAACGCTTAGAGATATATCCTTCATTGTCACACCGACCATTGACTGACAGCCACCATTTGGTTACTACCGTGCACTGTAACTAGTTGTCCATTCATTCATATGCGTGAAAGTAAAATTCAATGCTGCGCCTTCTGAAAGTTCAGTGATACAATTTGTAAGACATTGTAAATAAGATTCGCATTTATATTCACGGCGGATTCAATTGTACTGACCACATGCTGAATAGAGCGAGGCAGTCCTTACAAAGCGTTGAACAATATGCCAAGTGTAAAAGTTCAGTATATACAGAATCCATCTTTATGGGCGTACTTTAACCTTTTATCCATTCACCTGTTGTGAAGAATGTTTTACTTTTTGGTAGACTTCAGTTACCGGTTTGTCTTTTCAGTCTAAATGTAACGGCTCGAACATTTGACTTCAATGTGCAGTGAATGTTCTTCGATCCACTCACATGCTCGGATTTGCATCACTCCCATGCGCAGCGTCTTATCTCCACTTTTCAAGCTGTCAACCGGCGAATGAAATCCAAGTACAGCTGATTCGCTCTACTTTACAGCTCCATTTGTGGGGAATGATAAATGTGATTTGGGTAGCGGGACCGGGCATAAATGAATGAACAATTTGAAGATTTTAGGAAATGCACGTCAGTGTAATCATCCCCTCCACTCAAGAAGAAAATTAAATTAGAGCTAATATGGTTTTGTCAAGGTTTCATCCGTGATAGTGATAGTGACGATAATGAAGTGCAAGCATGCAATTCGAGAATACTATTTATAATTCTTCAAAAATAATTTATATTTCAAAGGTTCGGACTCATTATAATCATGAGTCCAAACCTACCCAGCAGTAATAATACTAGACTTATTAAGTGTTTTGATGAAAATTGATGACGAGTTGAGAACGGTGAGAAAACCAATACCTCCTTAGACAAGCCTATGGAACGAGGTTTGTGGATAGGAAAGAAAGTTATGTGAGAGATTGATCACACCTGCGGCGGGACTCGATAGAATTTTGCAACTTGTTTGGCTCAGAAATTGACAAGGAATTAAAGTCTGAGATAGTTCCGAATATTTCGATTATATGAACCAGTGCTATATGTGATGTGCATTCTTTTATGAAAGAATTTCAAAGCAAGTTGATGTTGGCGAGAAATCGGAAAGATTATAATACCTTAAAAAAACCAAAAAATTAATACTATTAATCTAATTAAATAGAATTTGAACTATTGATCAAAAAAATTTCTTTCCTTGTATCATCATCATTATTTTTTATGTATGTTTCCGTATTGAAAGTAACGAATTGAAAAAAAAAATTCCTATCCCCTCTATGGGTCCATTTTCCATACGCGAAAGGTAAAATGGTCAAAAGCAAAAATAATTTATAATTTTAAGAGAATATAGTTTAATTTGTTTCGGAGGTGGACAAAGAGCCTTTATAGCTCAGTGGTAGAGCGTCAGTCTTGTAAACTGAAGGTCCGGTGTTCGATCCACCGTGGAGGCAGTGCTCCGCCTAAGGCCCAATTATTTCTTTTGTACCTTCCATTCCGTAGCGGAATGAGCTCTAAGGGGTGAACGTAGAATCACGAAAGTCTGGATAGTTGTCCTACCCTTCGCGTCGTTTGGTTTGTTTTTATCGTGCTCTTTCCCTCGACGTTTCGCAATTCTCTCCTAAGCGGAAGGAGCTGCGGAAGGAGCCGTAACTGTTAAATTTAGTTTATTAGGGAGGCTACGGCGTAGACGCCGTAGCCTTTTTCCTCGTTCTCTTTCCAACGGTGCTTCGCGATTCTCTCCAAAGCGGAAGGATCTGCGGAAGCAGCCCCAAGATGTCTTGTAGATGACGTAAGTCAGACAGATATGATTCTTTTACTGATCTTTTTTTCCCTCTTAACACTTTCTCCGACTTATTCTGCATCTCCCCTATTTTGTCGACCATAGGATTTGATTTTCTCCGAATTTTCCCTTGATGGTTGCCATTTCTTTCCGAACCTGCAGGAACCATAACATTTGTACATAGAATGTGAATGACATAGATGTCTTGTGCATACTTTATCAATAGAGCATAAAAGGTTTTAAGATCCATCAAGCACCAAAGCAAATATTGCGCTGTTTTGTCATGGTGAGATTTATGTACTATTACACTTAATGAATCAAATATTTCACTAACAAGTACTGGTAAAAATAACAGGAATAGAAGTAATAATATTATTCATATTTTTTTCTTGTTGTTTTCTAGACATCAATGATATAAAATTTTACATTTTATATTGGAAATAAAAATATTTTATTTTATTTTATACAATAATTTAAAAACATGATATCATGCCAGATAACAAAATAGTGTCTTGATCATACATTCACAACCTCATCAATATAGGAAAATATAACTGCACATGATTTCAAGACAGAAGAAACTAAAGTTCAAGTTTTTTTGCCATACAAACATATTGATTTGTCATTGCTATTGTCATTGATCCATACATCATTTATGGCCTTCTTTACTTAATGTAAAAAATATGGCCTACTTCTTTGAAACTTATTACACATATACCTTTAATACTGATAAATTGTAACAATTATCGATCTATTATACGAAATAATATATTGATAAGCTCAATAAAATACTCAACATTATACCAAAAACTACATGATTAATCATATACTACATAGCTTTCCCATCTAGATGATGCAATCATGTGGAATGAATTCTATTGCATTTAAAGTCATGCTACACTCATATATGATGTATGTAGATGGACAAAGTCAAGTTATACGCTCCTTGTTATGAAATATTTAATCATGTACAAGTGATAATTCCTAAATTCATGCGGTAGATAAATTTGAGGTCAACAATCATCCAAATTAATTTTGAAAAGATAATGATGAATGAAAGCTGATGAATGATTATCAATGAATGATGAATGAATATACAAATCTTCACTTATGTTAATGATGATGAAGAAGTAATGCAAGTTTAAGTTGAATGAACTATGTTTAGTTGCTCTTGCTAAAAAAACGTAAAAAAAACACCGATTTCGCATAAGAGCATCTTGTATTTTGGTCGTGGAGCAACTTTGTGCCCTGCTTTAGCCTCGACAAATCTCACACTCGTACTTTGCACTCACGACGATATAACTTCGAAAGCAATATTTCGGCCGTGACTTCGCCGAACCATTGGCAAATTGAGTACAGGAGTCATGAACGATATTATCGGGGACGGGTGCCAGCTAACAAACGCTCAACCGAACAGAGGACAGCGCGAAATACACCGCGAGTCGGGTACCATGACGCGACTGCAGATATTAGCTCCGAGACAGAACATCGATGTGGCCGTCCAGAGCGATGCTGCTCTGACCTCGCAGACGGCTGATAATGCAAGGGATTGTTGCTAAAAAAACGTAACAAAAAACACCGTGATTATCTTGTGTAACTACTAGATGAATATATTTTATATATATCTTGTAGTTTCATATATATGCTACCAAATTTTAGTATGTAATATTGATGAAAAAGAAAAAACAATGAAACAAAGAAGGTTTTGAAAAAGAACTCTTGTTGAAAAATTAGTAACAATCAAGGAACAATATAGACGCTAGACATTTGATTTTACAGTTGTGCTATAAAAGGGTCTAAGAAATAATCAAGGCAAATATAATCTTCAAGGCATAAGTACATGCTAATAATCTATAAAGAAATGTTGAATCATTGTTAAGTTTGAAAAGGGTATTTTAATGAGTGGGGTATAATGAATCTCAACAAGAAACTTCTCAAAGAAAAATTAAGATTTTTTGATGTTATTATTGAAAAACGGTAAACATTTGGAGATATACTATGTCATGTTTTTGATAAAATAAAATCAAAAAATTTGAACAATGTTTTGATGTTGAATGATGCACATTGTCTCACAAAGCTTTAATCTTTGTGTGACAACTTGTGTTTTGTTAGAATACTTGTACAAATAAATCGTTAATCATTTCTAAAAATAAAATATAAAAGAGTTCATTTTTACATAATTATGATTATGATTCAGTATCATTATTACATTATAGCACTGACATGTTTGATGATAAGTATACTTATATATAAATATGCAACTGGCATAAGGAATTTTTGATGCATGTCCAATTCATCATAAAATAGAATTAAACCTTGTTGAAAGAATAAATTATGTTCAATTTGTCAAAAATAAATATACAAAAAAATGTCAGATTATGACATTATAGCATAGAGAATTAGTAAATAAATTTTTGATGATGAACAGACTTATACAAAATATGCAACTAAGATGAAGAATAATTGATACATGTTCAATTTAATCATCAAACAAATTGATAATTTCATGAAAAAACGATTTATTTTCAAAGCTTCAAATTTTTTTGAAAAATTTACATAACGATATCAATAAAAATAAATTTAAAATTGAAAATTATATAAAAAATTATTACAAAAATGTGAAAGGTTGAAATAGATTTTGTACAATAAATAATATATTAAAAGCCAAAAATTTTAAAATATTGTGAATAAAATTAAATCTCATTAAAAAATATTTTTTGATAGATTTGATTTTTTAAGAAAAATTATTATGTATAATCAATCCATGTCATAATTTTTTGAAAATTATAATATAGATAACATTCAAAGATAAATGTAGATTGATTTAATGTGGATATATATTTAAGTATTTATTGTTTCAATTATCAAATAATGTTGTGTTGTAACAATAACACAATGAATAGAGTATAAAATGAAAATTTTCAAACATAGTTGATATTATAACGATATTTCAAATCACAATGAAAGATAAATTAAAATAAAAAATTTGATGT